ATGGGGACCACAGATGGTATGCTGAAAGCAGTTGGAGGAAACAACATGGAAGGTCCTATGGTATGGGAGCTGGAGAACAGACACTTATCTTCTATATTAAAAAGGAAGTCAAACCTACCCACATTCTCTGCTATTTATGGCATTCATTACACGTTTAGGGAGATGAACGATGACGATTCAACCCACAGGACGTCCACCAGATAATCCGGAAGGGGCAGAAAATGTTGAGGCCGATGCCAGCTCACTTTCAACTCATGCTTTGCTCGAAGGGACAGTTGCTGAAGCTGCAGAGAAAAATTCAGGAAATACAGCATAAAGTGGTGGGAAGTTGGGCCAGAGATGCAGTTGCTAGAAGATCTTTACCTCTGCAACATTGTGGAGCAGGATGCAACAAAGTCCTTGCCTCTACTCTTTCTTGCTATGCTCTTTCTGGCTATTGAAGGAGTGATGATGAAGGTTCAAATCAGGAAGGTATGGGTCCAGAAAGCAGTGAAGTACTGGGAAGGGAGAGGCGCAAGAATGAAGGTGAACCTAAAGATCAAGGCTGTTTAATATCACCCACCTTGAGGACAAGGTGGTTGTCCAACGGGGGAGATATGTTAGGATAATGGGCTTACGAGAATAATAATAATTAAGTGTGATAGTGTAATAGAGGGTCCTAGGCCTGGTAGTAGTTGGCCTTGACTGGCCCATTAGAAATAGAATAAATAAGGGTGGGTGGTGAGTAGATGGGGGGCAGAACTTGGGATCAGGACTGGGATATTGGGAGTGAGAGACCACTCGAAGAGTCTCAAACCTTTCCTTTCATGACTTTCTGTATTCCTTCACTAAATGTTCATTAATAAACTACTACTTTCTTCTTGGATTCTTCGGTTACTTATCATCTTTTAAAAACTTTGCAAACCTAGGAACACCTTTTATTAAATTGAGAAGAGGGATATTTACCTCACATTTGTTGAAGGTCTCATAGATGTCTTTGTCATTGTTGTATTTCCGATTATCCTTGAGAGCCTCCGGAAAAGGTGGCACCGGCTCATATGAATCGAGCGGTGGGAACTTTCTTTGAGGTGTGATCTCCTCCTCTTTTTCCTCTTCATTTTGAGGATTTGTGCTCGGCACCAAGATCTTCTCCTCTTCTTCTCCAACATGGCTCTTTGCTTTTGCCTTAACCATAACAATTCTTTGTCACTTCTCAAAATGACCGCATGAGCTTGTTGCCTTGGATTCCGCTATGTTTGAGATGGGAGTTTTGCCGAATCCCTAGCTTCAAGCCTACTCACGACATTTGAGATTTGGCTCATTTGGCTTTACAAGTTGTGGATGCTAGATTTTGTTGTTTCTTGAAATTGGGCCACACTTTGTTGCATCGTAGCCATGTTCATGGCTAGTGCTCGAATCATGTCTTCGGTGGACATGTTCGAGTTCGATGTTTGGCCTTGTTGTTTATATTGTTGAGGCGGAGGGTTTGATTGTTGAGGGGGTTGAGAGTTTCCGTACCTTAGATTTGGATGATCCCTCCATCCCGGATTGTAGGTGTTGCCGTGAGGATCGTACCTCCTTTGGCCTTGAAACCCCAAAGCATTGACTTGCTTGGAGTTCTCCTCTTGTAGAGTTGGGCAAGAATCGGTGGGATGCCCTTGTGTTGAACATATGCCGCAGACCTTGACTTCTTGGGATTTTGGATTTAAAAGGAAATCTTTAACCAAAGAAGTCAAGTCGGCCACTTGACTTTCCAACGAGTTGTTGGATTCCACCGCCATAACTCTCTTTGTTGACCGCCGATCATAGTGTCTACAATTTTCGGCCAACTCCGAGATAAGATTCCTAGCTTGAGAAGGAACTTTGTTGACTATTCCTCCTCAACATGCAGCATTAATCATCCGTCTATCATCATCGCAAAGATCATCATAAAAGTAAAGGATGAGGTCTTGCTCCGAGTAGTCGTGATATGGGCAGCTTGCACAAAGTTTCTTGAATCGTTCCCAGAATTCGTAGAACGATTCATCATCTTTTTGCTCCACATTGCTGATTTGTTTCTTTAGAGATGAGGAGATTGAGGCAGGATAATACCTTTCGAGGAAGCTCTTCTTCATGGCCGCCCAAGTGTCTATGCTTCCCGAGGGAAGATAGAATAGTCAATCTTTGGCGGTGTCTTTGAGGGAGAATGGAAAGGCCCTCAACTTTATTTGCTCCTCAATGACACCGTTCGGGCACATGCTTGTGCAAATGATGTGGAACTCCGAAAGATTTTTATTCGGATCCTCTCCTCTTAACCCGTGGAAAGATGGAAGTAGATGTATGAGCCCGGATTTCAACTCAAATGTAGCACCCGCATCAAGAGTTGGGAAGGTGATACATAAGGGTTGTTGATTTGGATTGGGAGCTGTGAACTCCTTCGGTGTTCTTGTTTCAAGAGCCATAGTTATTGGCTCTTCGGACTCGCTAGAATGAGAACTAGCATTTGAGGATTCTCCCGAGTCGGTGTTTGAGAATTTATTTTTCAACCGCTCCAGAGCTAGTTCTATTTCAGGGTTTGTTTGGTAGGTGAGTTGGTTTATGAATCGCGTTTTTACCATATACTCAAACAAAGCTCAGAAAAATAGAAATCTTTATATATATATATATATATATTTTTCTTGAAATAAAATAAAATGAAAAATTAATTGCCTCTCCCCGGCAACGGCGCCAAATTTGACGTGCACTTTGTCACTGTGCGTCAAAATAAATCGATACTAACACTTATACGTAGTATAGGTGAAGTAGAGTTCGTATCCACAGGGAAAGGAATAATTATCTTTTTAATGAAATAAGTAAATAAAGGGGGGGATTTGGATTGAATAATTTAATTTGATAAGAACTAAGATGAACAACTTATATGTGTTTTGATTCAAGGATAAAAGGACTTGGCTTTGCTACTTTCCACTTATTGATATATTTTAGTCGATCCTTGTTATATCTATAACTTATCCCCTCTCGAATACTCAATCGAGGAGTATCTCCGATTCATCGAGGGTAGTTATTAACAACGACCGTTCATTAATAACCCTTACTATTAATCAAATATAGAACAACGCCGTATACCGATATAATAGTAGGATTCAATCTTTTTAACTCCTTGATGAAATCAATTGAGATTGATAACCTCAACACAACGGTTTCGGTTTAACCAACAAAATTAATACCTCTTAAGTCTATTAACCACGACCGTGCGTTAATAAACCGAAGTTACTTACTTGTGAAACCACCAACGATTAACCATTGTTTCGTTGATCGTTTCAAGTAGTAATTAATGTCGGAACGTTAACTAATCGTCACTTAGCAACCTTCCAACATTAATATAGAATGAGATTAAGGGAAGAATTAATAATCAAGAGAAGAAGTTAAGAAAATAACTCACAACTTTAATAATCAACAAGCTTCAAGAGTAAAACCAAGAAATGGAAGTTTAGCTCCTCATTTGGAGACTAGACATGCTATAAAAATATAAGAAATGTTATTCTAAACTGAGCTTAGGAGTATAGGAGAAGGGATCATTCAAAGTGAAGGAAAATGAGGCTATTTATAGGTGTTTTACAACACCTTTGGCCGGGTACCCGGCCGGGTAAAGTGCCCACCCGACCGGGTGCATGTCAAAATCAAATATCCTCCACGTTGTGGTGATCTTCGGCATGTTAAAGTGTCCCGAGTCAAGTCAGACCCGACCGGGTGAGGTAGGGGACCCGACCGGGTGCGCAAATTATATGGTGCAACCGGCGCACCATGAGGATGGTGCGTCCGGTTGCAAAAACGACGTAGGATCAGATTTTTTTTTTTTCTTTTTTGCTTTTGTTGTTAAAAATGATAATAACTTTTTTATTTTTGATCCGATTTTTATAAAATTTATATCAACATTTTTTATTTTTCATGATCTTTCAAATGAGACCAATATTGTGTATGTAATTTTAAGAAATTATCGAACTATTATATTAATGAGTATTGGATTATAAGAAAAATCGAATCTGTTTGGGAGATGATAGGTTTGTGAAATAGAAGATCGAATCTGTTTGGTAGTGGATCAGTGACCTCATTTACATTTGATAATACATTGAGTTACATCTTTTTATGAGCGAGTTACATCTTTTTATAAGCAAGTTACATCTTTTTATAAGCAAGTTACATCTTTTTATAAGCAAGTTACATCTTTTTAAAAGCGAGTTAAATATATATAAACACGAGTTGCATTTGACATGCTTGAACGCGACTTACATGTATTTACACGTAAAGTTACATATTTTTACACGTAAAGTTACATATTTATACACGCGAGTTACATATTTATACACACGAGTTGCATGTGACCTGTCTGAATGCGAGTTACATATTTTTTTACGTAAAATTACATATTGTTACACGTAGAGATACATATTTATACACACGAGTTGCATTTGACTTGACTGAAGAGTTACATATTTTAACACTTAAAGTTACATATTTTACACACAAATGTTAATATGTTAAAATTACATAGGCAATATTGGTCTCATTTGAAATATCATGAAAAATAAAAAATGTTGATATAAATTTTATAAAAATCAGATCACAAATAAAAAAGTTATTACCATTTTTTAAAAACAAAAGGAAAAAAAAAGAAAAACCGTCCCGGTATACGGTGCTCACCGTATACCGGTTGCACGGTATACGCACTCGACCGGGTGAGTGCACTTTCGAGGCACTTACGGTTGTTGAATCAGACCCGACCGGGTTCAGGGTCTAACCCGACCGGGTTTTGTGCTCTTGTCCCTTTTTGTCTTCAGCTTTTCTCCCCTTTTTCTTGTAAAAAACTTCTACCACTATTCTACAACTATAAATGGAAGCTAAAAACAATTACAAACAAAGTTAAACAAATGTCTACAACTGCATACAAATGGTAAAGAATCCACACAAATCAAATATAAAAACAAACATTTATGCACTACTAATTAGTGCATATCAGTGCTACTATTACTCTATAAGTAAAATACCTCAGAGCTAGATAATGTTGCAAAGACGCCTTTACCAGGTAGATTTTCAAAACTTTCAACAGAAATGGAAGGAAGATCTTTGTCTGCGCTAAGATCTAAAAACGCTCTGCATAAACAAAGAGCAAAATTAATAGAGCAGAAATTTAAAAAGCATTTGATGCATCCATTAGTGTAACTTTCCACTTCCCAAATATATAAGTTATAACAAGATATTATATATCCAGCACCCCAACTCCGGAAGCATTAAGCATATTCAAAAATCATGGAATGACAGATTTGTATCATATAGTGGAATTTATGTTGTTAATGTAAACCAATGAATATTAAAGAAACGGAAAGGAAAAAAGAAAGTTAAAATGATTTTTTAGATCAGTGTGTTTGATATATGTTCACAGATGATAAGTTCTTAACAGAGAAACTAAAAATATCTACAACCTAAGGATTTGTTTAGTTGGGAGAATATTAAACTAGTTCTACAAATAGATGATTGGAGTTACGGTGAAGATTAAAAACTACTCTGTATATAGAAAGGTAGAAACACATGATCTAACTAATAATATGGTTGCTCCTAGCCTAAATCTAAAAACAAAAAACAATCTTCCACTTCCCTCAGAAATCCTTAACCAAACAAGCCCTGATGGCAAAAAATGGCATGATGCATAAAAGAATTCTCAACCTAATGAAATTTGACTGTGAATCTGTTAATCATCGCAGTCGACAAAAATGTAGATAAATAGCGAATAAAGACAACGGTACACTAAAGATAATGTTGATGTCCAACTTAGGAGTTGTTCTGTTTATCTTATTCTTATTGCTTATTCTTATTTTATTCAAATCAGATCAGGTTAGAAAAAATCAGATCACAAAAATTCTCATATTATAATGTAACAATATTATAATTGTAGTTATAATTATAATTATAGCTATAATTGTCATTATAGTAAGAAATTATTTATAATTATAATCATAATTATAGTCATGATTATAATTATAATTATGATCATAATTATAATAACTATTACCATTTTTATAATTATAATCATAATAACAATAGTAGTAATAATAATAACAATAGTAGTAGTAATAGTAATAAACATTGAATCAAATTAGAAGTATATAAATCAGATTGGAAGTATTCAAATAAGATCAGAAACATTCAAATCAGATCAGAAAAATTCAGGTCAGATTATATCAGAAAGATTCATATCACAAAGATTCAAACCAGATCAACAACAAACAACAACATTACCCTAGTGCCGCAAAGGCTCCAACCTACGGTGGGGTAAGGTGGGTCGGATGTACGTGGTCTTACAACTGTACTAAACTACTAAAGCACAAAGAGATTGTTTTCGAATTGCCCATAATGAAAATCGCATCGAGAATTGCATGGACTCATTGCTACTTCATAACAAAGAAGCGCAGACAGTTTAGTGAGTCATTTTGCTTTATTCCATCATATTCCCACACCAAAAAAAAGTGAGTCTTTGGCTTTATTGGGAATGATGGAAAGATCAGAAAATTCATATTAGTTAATACCAGATCAAAAAAATTCAAATCAGACCAGATCCTAAAAAATCAAATCAGAAACATTCAGATTAGACCAACATAACAGCTTCTTAGTTATTTTAATTTTAAATCAGGGTCATGAATTTCTAAAAAAATGTAGACAAAAAGTGAATAAGGATAACGGTACAGTAAAAATATCAACAATCCTAGGCTAATATACTGCAGGAACTCAGGAAGTACCTGCTGAGCAGGACTTCGGGCTACATACTCGAATACACATTGTTTACCAGTTATTATGAACTAAAGAATTTTCCATCCACTTTAAACAATTGTTGCATTGAGTGAATCTATATCCACCACTCACCAGTGTGTGTGTGCATGTAAATAACACCCATGGCAAAGGATGACATATATGAAGGCTATTTAGAGAACAACCTTCCAATTGGATGAGTGGTGCCCTTCTCCATAGCAGCTGCAACAGCAAGGGCTTCTGTCTCACAAGTGGGTTCACAGCAGCCAAATTGTTTATCTTGCCTGTTCATGTGCCCATGAATTGGTTCAATTGCTTTACACATAAAATCCCCAGTTGTCAATGTACCAGTTTTGTCAAAGGCAATGTTGTGGCAAGAAGCTAGGGCATCAAGAACTTCCCCACCTTTGAGTAATATTCCCTACAAACAGAACACATGAAAGCTATACCCCACACAAAATCAGAGCATGAACTGTTCTAAGCTGAGCTCAAGCAACGCTCTAATTATTCAAAGTTCATGCTACTTGTTATATACTTTTCCTCTATAATGCAGCTTTATAAATTTAGGCAGAGAGTTCAAGTGATTCATAATTGTCAATTATCAAGCTTGAGTTTATACTTATATGAAAAGTATGGAGCATCAGATTGATCTAATCCAATACCTAAATGGAGAAAGAAACTTAGATACCTGAAGCTCAACTTTGAGTCCCTTTGGTTAAGCTTTTATTAAGGTGTGTTCAAAATTTGTACAAAAAATTTCACCACTGCAACCTTTGTGTTTTACTGTCTTATGTACACATCCTTGCAGAATAGTGAATTCACTGAGTGGATAGCTTTTCATTAAACCTTTCTACTGCAGCTTGATACCTCTGATGAGGTGAGTTTAATTTATTTGTTTTAAGAAGAAAGGAATTACTTTCATTGATGTACTATTTTCCTAATATTTTAAAACAAATACCCTCTTCAGAATATTTTTAAAAATTTCACCGCACCACCAATCATATTTACTAAAAAATCAAATTTAGAGATTCAAAGTAGTGTTTTATCTAAGAGTTCTAGTCTCTAAACTCATTGCTTTAGCCAATTTATCACAGCACCGCTCCAAATTCACTATCATGACAAAGGGGATCTTCAAATTTAAAGTCATACCAATAACCTCTTTAATTAAAACTGAACAAAAAGTCTTATATCAATTGCACAAGTTTCCCTAACACAATATGATCCTTCAACAATATTTATGGGTTCTCCATTGGTGCCATAGCACTAGCTCATTACTCCTTTGAAGAGAGTACGATTTGAACTAGACAACGTAACTTACAATTGATCAAAATACAGCTACTTGAGAGCTATGACGAAACAGTATGTAAAAGAAAATAAACACACTCTTTAATAACAAGTTAAAATAGATACCTTTCTAGCACAAGCACTGATAGCTGTCACATATGCCAATGGAGCCACAGCTAATGCACATGGTGATGCAGCTACCATAAGCCCGAGTGCTCTGTAAACTGATCCTCTGCTAGCTACATGAAATAAACAGGTCTGAAAGAATAATTTGGATAAAATAGATGAATATACACAGTTGCAATGTCTATAGTTTTTCACTTCGCAGGAAATACAATACAGTTATTGACCAGACGTTTATGCAAAATGCAACCACCACCCTTCAATAGAAAAGTAGAGTAATATAGTAGACAGAATTATACTAATAGGAAGTCCTTTTAATTACCTGAGGTACCAATGAGGGGCCACCTGAAAAGAAAAGGTCCAATAACAGCAACTGAAAAGGATAGGAGTACCACAGCCGTACTGTACTGCTCTCCAAATTTATCAAGCCATCTCTGTAGTTTTGGTTTACTTAACTGAGCTTCTTCAGTCAGCTGCACAATCCTGTTTAGTGTAGACTCTTTCCATGTCTTCTTCGCCTATATTGCAAATTGAATAAGATTATACAAAGGAAATTGCCCTAAATAGGAGTAAAAATAAGGTGGTTTGCCTGAATAGGACTACTATGTTTTACCCTAAATAGGATTAAATACTGTCATACTAAAAATACTACCATATTTTGGCACTAACACTATCACATTAATGGCCAATAATGCCATAATATGGAAGTGTGATTTCAAGGTGTGCACTTTACTCTTATTTGGAGGGGGAAAATTGCACTCCTATTTAGGGAAACCACCTTGATTTTCCTATTTTGGGAAGTTTCCGTACATAAAACAAAGTATACTCTCTCTATTTATCTTCCAAAGTAGTATATGATTAAATTAAAAGGAATTCCTTAACAACATCATCATCATTCCTCCAGTGCCACAAAGGCTCCCACCTGGCACCTACGGTGGGGTAAGGGGGGTCGGATGTACGCACCCTTACCCCCTGTTTAACACAGAGAGACTGTTTCCGAATTCCTTAACAAGATGGAGGTAAAAAAAACTTTAGTTAAATCAACCAAGTAATTACATGGAACAATGCGGAAATAGTATGATAGGGATCGGGCCTATTAGACTAATAATAGAAATAATAATAATAATAATAATAATAATAATAATATTAATAATAATAATAATAATAATAATAATAATAATAATAATAATAATAATAATAATAATAATAATAATAATAATAATAATAATAATAATAATAATAATAATAATAATAATAATAATAATAATAATAATAATAATAATAATAATAATAATAATAATAATAATAATAATAATAATAATAATAATAATAATAATAATAATAATAATAATAATAATAATAATAATAATAATAATAATAATAATAATAATAATAATAATAATAATAATAATAATAATAATAATAATAATAATAATAATAATAATAATAATAATAATAATAATAATAATAATAATAATAATAATAATAATAATAATAATAATAATAATAATAATAATAATAATAATAATAATAATAATAATAATAATAATAATAATAATAATAATAATAATAAGTATAAATAGAAGGGGAGGGGAGGAAAAAGAGGTAGGCTGTTAGACAGTTAGTTTGGGCTGGGAGAAGTTGAGATATTGGTATCTCGTTTCTTGGGAACTCTGTACTTTTTTCACCATTTATGAAAGCTTGAGTTGTTTCTTGAATTTCATTTCATCTTTTCTGTAATTTTCTTTATACCTGGGATAGTTCTATCATAGTACTGCAAATTAAAATGTATTGGTAACCAATAATATATATGAGTACTTCCTCTGATCCCCCCCCCCATCTAACGTAAAGAATGAAATATAAAATGCCAGAAGATCCCTAAAGTGAAGAACCAATTATGTATAGCTCTCAAATGCTCAATATGAACATCGCATTCCCGGAAGAATAAATGTACAAAACTTGTCCCATTAAAGGGTAGAATAAGTTTATAATAAAAGCACAATGTCAAATGTTTTTATGTAAGCAAATCTTCAAGAAATGAGGGGATTAAAGAAGAAATATATTATTATTGGTTGTAATTTTATAGATTAATTGACAAAAAAAGTACACCACCAGAAGGGGGGAAATGCATCATACTTGGAGAAGTAATGAACTTAGGAAGAAAGCAACAATATGCTTAATCTTATCTTCAACTCATATGGAACATTAAGATTTGTGTTATTTCATTTACAGAAACAATAATAAATAAATAAACACAGAAATCTCAAAGCATTTCATTGACACGAAGAGGCAAACGAGCCATACCTTCACTATCAACATGCCATCTAGGTTCCTCGCTCCCCCAGGAATGCTATCGCCAACATTCTTTTCTAAAGGTTTGACCTCACCAGTTAAATGCTCAACTGTGATCGTCGAGCTACCTTTTAAAACTTCACAATCCACAGGCACGGACTGATTGAAGCAATAGTAAAACACAGTATTATAATAACATAAAACTCGTTAAACAGCACACATTAACCCTCATATAAAGGGTCAGCGTGTAATTACACACCCCATAGATAAACAAAAGCACACACATAAACACTATTATGTATGTTGCATGGAGTAATAAATAAGGGAGTGCAATGTACAGACCTCGCCAGCTTTAACCAATATCAGTGAATCAACTTTCAGGTAGCTAACAGGGACTTCATGATATGTTATGTTTGAGAAACTTGGTGGGCTCTCATTATTTGCATCAAGCATTAAAGCAAACTCTGGATGATTTTCTTTCAATTCCTTTACATCAATCTTGGCACGGCGAGTGAAGGCCTCTTCAGCTGTGGAGGAGGGTAAATAATTATTTGACACAGAATCCAAATCTCTTGGCAGAGAATACAGCCAAGTAAGGAGTAGGAGTACACATACCTATATGAGACAAATTAAACATGGCTAGAAGCAATCCACCTTCCAATGGGTTCCCCATGAAAAGCGAAGCAAATGCTGCAAGGGCCATCAGCACGTGGATATTAATTTTCCAACCAGCGATGTCCATTAGGGCATCAAGGGAAGCTGAGATCTGACATGTAGCATGACATACAAATTCAAAAAACAACCAAATATACAAAATAATGAATTATACATGAATAACACAACAAAGCATATAGTTTTTCCTAAGAAAGCACAGCATTCAAGATTTTATTCAGTTCCTGGTCGTATATCACTTCCTAAACTTCATTGAAATCTTTATTATATGTTCACCTTAGTAGTCTGGTTTCACTAAATTGAAATACATTGACCCTGTACGTGTAGCAGAACATCCTTTACCATCATGATATAAAGAGAATCAATTGCATCCTAGTTTCTCGTGTGGAATTGTTTATGGAAAGCTTAATCACTCTGGTTAGGCCAAAAAACCAAGGAGTCATTGCGTAATTCTAACCGATTTAAACAGTTGGGGATTCGTAACCCAAAACTGGACCAGGAACAGGTGACTGTAGAATACATGAAACGGAAATAAAGAAAATACCCCGACAAGAGGGAAGGCAATGGCAGCGAAAGCATGCTGGAAAGGCTTCACAATCGGTTTGGGTAGCACGCAGGGACAAGCCGCCGCGGCAATAAACAAAACGGCGGCGAAGCAACAGAGTTCCAAATTCTCCCGCAAAAAATTAGATAGGTGAGTCCACCTAGTCGCGTCTGCGAATTTTAGAAGAATCTGTTGGGGTCTTGTCAGCTGCACATCACACTCATTGGGACCATGATGGTGGTGTTGGTTATGATCATGGATATGCCCGTTCTGCTGCTGCTGGTGGCCGCCGTGGTCGTGATGGCTGTAGGAGGAGCAACAGGCGGTGCAGCGACGGAGATGGGCCAGCGGAGGGGTTAAAATGGAAAGCCTATGACAGTGTACGACCTGCACGCGAGTGAGCGGAGGAATCGGATTTACTCTGGACCAAATCAGATTAGGGGCTCGGGTTCTGTAAGTGGATATTTTAAATCCACAGAAGATAGCTTGAACCTCCATTGCTGACGAAGTTAAGTGCAAACAATGTCAACTGGTGAAACACTAAGGTTTGATTAGAGGAAGAAGATGGTGTAGGAGTGATTGCAACACCAACGGGCGACGGAACTGTTTTTGTCAAGCCATGTTATCACCATATATCATCTACCCTTGGTGGATTGTGTCATCTGATTCACATCATGAGCTCATTCAGCTCCTATTTGCTCTTACTTTCATTGTCAATTGCAGGACAGCTTCTAGAAAGAAAAGGGAATCCTATTAGGGCCATTACCGAGCCTAGCCGAGCCAGAACAGGCTCGATTTCGGCTCGATAAGGAATGAGTGGTGTTCGGGTTCGAGCTCGAAGCTCAGCGAGCTTTACAAATGAGGCTCATGTTCGGCTCGATAGATGTTTGATGTTCGATCTGAACGTTCGATAAACTCGATAAATATGCTCGAATTTAAAATTTTAGGTGATACTCGTTAATAACCTCATGCTCGAATGGTTTGACAAGTGTTCGATTCTTTAATAATCATATTTAAATTCATAAAATAATACTAATTATATTTATAATTTTAGGGTGTTCGATAGGCTCGAGTTCGAACCGAGTCGAATACTACTATGTTCGAGCTCGGCTTGATTAATTTTTCGAACTTGAAATTCAGCTCAGGTTCGTGTTCGAAAGCTCGTTAAGCTCGGCTCGTTAAGTTCGAAACCGAGCTCAAACTCGAATAGTTTGATAAAAACTCGGTTCGTTAACAGCCCTAGCTCCCATAATCCTGGTGTGAACTACCTTTCAAAGCACTAGACAGTTAAATCCGGGTCTGATCACTGTCAGTCTTGTCAGTACTGGCTCCAAAGGACAAATCCAGTAAGACTTACATCACCTTTCGGGCTGCTCCTCCCACCACACGAATCCGCTACATTCGTTATCATTCTCTCCCTTCTCAACCGCTGAGCGACTCCGTGAAGGTAGAAAAAATCATTAGGAGCAAGACCTCACTCATCTTCCCCTTGGTGGGAATTGAACCCAATACCTCCCATAAATAAGAGACTTTAAGGTGGATGGTCATCCATTTAACTACACCCACCCACTTCCATTTTTTTATATGCCCCCACATCCAACCTAAGATGAGTATCTCGAATACTTTTAATGTGACAAATTTATATTGTATCACACTATCATACTCATACAATAACACACTTAATTATTGAAAAAGACAACAACGCTAACAACAATTATCTATAATCAACCGACACTATTAACCTTACGGCTAGATTTAGAAATGATCACACCCGAACGAGCAATATGAATCGTTAACGACCAAACAGGTGTGACACAACAATCAATGACCTTATAGGTTTTTTTAACGACATACTCCCTCCATCCCTTAAAACGTCGCTAACTTTCTATTTTGATTGTCCCACTAACTTTGTCATTTTTTCTTTCAACCACACAGTTTTTACTTCATTAATCATCGTTCAAGTCAAACTTGGCCAAGATTTAAGGTACAAAGGAAGTAATATCTGGCAGAATTGTCCATCATTTATTGTAGATATAAAACTAAAACATCAACGGAAAACATACCAACGACGTAAACAAACATAACGAGAAAATAATACCATAAAAAATACTACGTAACAGATAAATACTCCAAATGCTTTCCTATCAGCTTTCCTGCCAGTTTTCTTGATCGCTCCAAGGTGACGGTTCAGGAGGGGCGGCGGATCGCCGATCTGTCCTCACCCTTGTTCAGCCCTTCACCGCTCCCCGTCTGCTTCTCGCCCGTGCCACCTCCACTAACGCCATTGTCCTCCATCCATGTTGATCCGCCAAAAACAACCCTTCGACCTCCTCCATTGTTGGACTGGAACAACGTTTATCTAGATCATCCACAAAAGTCATGGTCAATTTTTCTTATACTTGACTTTAATCTAAATGCAAAAGAAAAACTGATTCGCAAAAATGTGACATTGCACCGCTCTCGACGCACGATAGAAGAGCCCTAGCTCACAACATGGGAGAGACACTTAATCCTATACCTAAAAGTACTACACTGGAGAGAGAAAATTCTTCCGCCTATGCATTCTCCGCCTAAAATCCTAAAATTTAATTTCACTTTCCGCAAAAAAAAATATCATCATATACCTAAAAGCACTACATTGGAGAGAGAAAATTCTTTCGCCTAAGCATTCTCCGTCTAAATTCCTAAAATGTAATTACACTTTCCACACAAAAAAATCATCATCCTATAATCCTAAAATTCTAAAATGTAATTTCATTCTATACCAAAAAGCAATACACTAGAGAGAGAAGAGTTTTCCGACTAAGCATTCTCCGCCTAATATCCTAAAATATAATTTCACTTTTCACAAAAAAAACATATATATACATATATACATACATACATACATATATATATATATATATATATATATATATATATATATATCCTATACCTAAAAGCACTACACTGGAGAGAGAAAATTCTCCCGCCTAAGCATTCTACGCCTAAAATCCTAAAATTTAATTTCATCCTATACCTAAAAGCACTACACTGGAGAGAGAAAATTCTCCCGCTTAAGCATTCTACGCCTAAAATCCTAAAATTTAATTTCACTTTCCGCAAAAAAAAAAATCATCATATACCTAAAAGCACTACATTGGAGAGAAAATTCTTTCGCCTAAGCATTCTCCATCTAAATTCCTAAAATTTAATTACATTTTCTACAAAAAAAAATCATCATCCTAT